TGTTTTACTTCGCTTCAATATCAGCTTATATCACCAAAGTGCGCTATAAAGCATTTATTCAGGTGTATACTGTAGCATTCCCAGACTACCCGTCTCTTATCAATCATCCACGGGTAAACAGAAATGCAGAGATCGTAGATAACGACGTGCCGTGTCTCTGTTCGCTTGGTCCCGTAAAGTTGTGCATGGGAAAATTTAAGGGCGATCGCGAGCATTACCTCTTCACACACCTACCGGTAAAGGGACGAAATATGATATAACAAATTATGTTTTGCATAGCTTTTAGCAATAAATCAACCTATAAGAATCTCATAAATAAATAAGTGAATTGTATATTCAAGGCCCAAGTGGCTCTTTCATGCTACCTGAATGGCAGTCATAAAACTATTGTATTGACTTACCGAGGATAAGCATAGCACTTGCAGGATTTGTATAGGTCAGTGCAAATGACTCACTGGAACCCCCGAGCACAACTTTATCCGAACGTACAAACGCATTATTTATCTGGACAGTGGAAACCTCCACAACAAAAAAGCGAGAACTTCGTCCAGGGCACTAAAAATTCACATAAGTTTAACGTTTCAACAGTTAGTGAATAAAGAGTATAAATTTGAGGAAAATGTTGTTCTCCTTTAAGTTTATTAAATGTAACATAAAAGTTCATGTATATTTGTTGCACTTTCCAATATCAGTCGCTTATTGGGGTTTTCAAGGTCATTGTTGTACAAACCCCGTCATATTTCAAAAAACGCGGTATTTACTAAGGTCCCTTTGCCTTAGAGTTTTAGGGCGTAACGCCAGCATAATCCGACTTCAATTTTCCAGGCACAACAATACTATACAGGCCCAATTAAAAAAATATATTTGTTGAATTCGCAATGTCCGGCGAATATTGTGGCTTCTTGGCTGCCTGCGTGCTATGTTCACCGTGTCTTTCGTGTGTACATAGTTGAAGCTGGATGTGCTCAAAGTGACCAGTTACCGCCACATTACTTTTCTGTCTGGCGTCTACATACGTTGATGCAGTTGTCTTTTGTGAACTTCACTCTTTGTACAATGCCCTCATCGCACTTGGCTAGTCGTCGACAAAACAGTCAACCACTGGAATCCAGGACAGGTATCGACGTGCTCTATTCCAAGACATGTGGGTGGCTGTATCGGCAAGCACCGGATGATGGCCTCATATGCGGCCACCAACATGCTCCCACCCTTATTATTTCATCTGAAGAGAACATCGTACTCACACAGTAGCTCTCTAACGGCGTTTAAATATCTGAAACAGTAGTGCTTCTTTATTCATATGACAAAATATAACATGACATTTATGTAGTACTAGTGCGGAAGCCCGGCTTCGCCTTGGGCTTCCTTACATGTTGTTGT